TGTAACCTTATGTTCTGTTCTACTGTCACTTTAAATGACCCTCTGATTTCTGGTGTGGATCTATGTGTTACACTATTGTGGGAGCCACCTATTGAGTCCATATATCTGTTCTGTTTTGTTCTGAATCGTGGTTATGATTATTTGTTTATATGATTTCTACGTTATGCTTCTGTTATTTAAAATTATTTATATATTTTTATTATTGAACAAATCTCTATTTAGCCCAAATAATTATCCATGGTGAATTTTATACCTTTATGCTCTCAGTATAATATTTTTCACTCTACCATGTGTTTATAGTTGTTAACCACTTTCAGGTGATAAAGCTTAAGGAAGGACTTGTTCCCTTGTCCGTATATTGGTATAGTTGGACCAAGGCTTGGGTAGACAAATAGCATATTGTAATATAGTCTAGCTCTGTTATTGTATACAATAAAAGGCGTTTTAATGTAATAAATGTTTGGGTACCCTTTTATTTTATTCCACTGTGTTTTTCATTTGATACATTTTGGTATTGACTTATGTTTTTGTCCTGTTGCGACGCCTAGCCTCTGTGTATCGGGATTGGGCCATGACAAAAGTGGTATCAGAGCAATGGTTTTTCTAAAAAGAACAAAAACATTGGAGCATAAGACACACACACACAATTAACAAGTAGGATAGGGAATGTTTTGTAGGGATCTAGCTTGGGTAAAAATTGTCATGTTTGTCCCCCTTCAATCACTATTCTGTTTGAGGCAAAGAAAAACTGAGAGGATATGTTTTGTCCTCCTTCAATCACTACTTTGCCAAAAGTAAAGAAAGGCAGAGGGGACATTTCTATGATTAATATATGCATTCTGTTTTGTGTGAATTAAGTGTAATGAACGATTAGGAATTGTGGACTAGATTCAAAACATTTTATTATGTAGTTATGGCTAATGATGGAAATGGTACCAGATCAACATCTGTTAGAGCCAAATCAGTAAAAAGAATAATAGAAACAACTGTTGCCAACTTCTTACATGTCTTGCAAAATAATGTAACCAATGGCATATCAGAAAATCGATAAGAACCCAGTATAATAAAGCAATTTTAGGACCTAAAACCTTCAACATTCGCAGGGGATTCAAACCCATTGCTGGCAGAAGCTTGGGTTAGAGACATGGAAAAGATTTTGCATGCACTGCCCTGTACTAAAGCGCAAAAGGCATCTTTTGCCACCTTCACCTTTAAAAAAAATGCCTAAGAGTGGTGGCTTCATAACCTGCAAAAGGCATCAGAATTCTTACACTTAAAGCAAGGAATAATGTCAACAGCCGAGTACGAAAGTAAGTTCACATGACTGGCACGATTTTCACCTTATGTTATTCCAACGGAGGCATGAAAGGAGAGGAAACTCAAAGCAGGCTTAGAGGAAGAAATCAAAGGCAAGATCAAGGTTCTAAAATTACCAACCTATGTAGAGGTGGTAAATCGAGCATACATCGCAGAGAAAGGAGTCAAAATCACATGTTTTGGTGGTATGAGTCGAAAGAAGCAATTCTGGAGAGAACCAACTAGAGGATTCAGTTTTGCTCTATTAAAAAGAACTAATACGGGACCCAATTGCTCAACCAGTTAGCCAAGCAAGGTGCTAGAGGTAACACCATTCCTAACTATCAAACATGTGGAAATACTTATCGGGGACAGTGCTATTAGGTGACAGAAGCATGTTTCAGATGTGGTCAGATTGGTCATGTGGTGAGAGATTGTCCAAACTTGATGAGTAACCCTGGATCAGTCCAGAAAATCAGAATAAAAAAGAAAGAACAGAGACGTCTAGAGAGAGCTTTTGCTTTGGTAACCTCGATGTTACGAAAAACGTTATGTCAGGTACACTTTCTATATATGGACATTCAGCTTATATTCTCATTGATTTTGGATCAACTCATTCTTTTGTTGCTCCATACTTTACTCCTAATTTAACACCGACTCCTGAGTCCTTAGGATATGCTTTATCTGTGTCTTTTTCGTTTGGTGGTTCTGCATTTTGTACTGATGTCTGTAAATCCTGTGCTATATCCCTAAAAGGTGAAATTTTATATGCAAATTTGATTCCACTCCACATCAGTAGTTTTGATGTAATCTTAAGAATGGATTGGCTAGTTGACAAATGTGCCTCTATTGATTGTACGACCAAAAAGGTCTTCATTCGATTACCAAACTAACATGAACTTGTTTTGAATAGAACTGGAGTTTCTACCCCTCCATGTTTAATATCTTTTATGTTAGCCTAACGACTTTTGAGAAAAGGTTGTTGTGGATATCTCTGTTATGTGGTCGATACTCAACGAGTGGATCCAACACTCAATTCGATACCTGTAGTTCGAGAATTTCTTGATGTATTTCCTAAAGATTTACCTGGTACCTTGGTTGATCGAGAAATCAAATTCACCATTGAAATTCAACCTGGCACGCAACCGATATTGAAAACTCCTTACCATACGTCGATTGTGGAATTGAAAGAGTTGAAGACACAACTTCAAGAATTGCTTGACAAGGGTTTCATATGACCAAGAACCTCACCATGAGGAGCTTTAGTACTATTCATGAAAAAAAATGATGACACAATGAGATTCTGTATTGATTATCGAGAATTAAACAAAGTCACTATCAAGAATCGGTACCTTTTACCTCAAATTAATGACTTATTTGATCAACCTCAAGGCGCTCAAGTATTTTCTTAGACCAACTTGCAGTCTGCTTATCATCAAGTGAAAGCTAAAGTAGGAAGCATTGAGAAGACCGCCTTCAGAACATATTACGGACACTATGAATTCCTTGTCATGACCTTTGGTGTCACGAATGCTCTAGCGGCTTTTATGGACCTCATGAATCAAGTGTTCAAATCCTATCTCAATGAATTCATCATTGTTTTCATTGATGACATCCTCATGTACTCTAAAACACTAGAAGACCATGAGCAACACTTAAGATCAGCTCTGCAGATGCTACGTGATCACAAAATTTATGCCAAGTTGAAGAAATGCAAATTTTGGCTCACTAGTGTACATTTCCTGCCACATCATTGACAAGGACGACATCTCTATTGATCCACAAAAGATTTTAGCAATTGTGGATTGGCTGCAACCTATTAATGCATCTGAGGTATGGAGTTTCCTAAGATTGAAAAGACATTACCGACATTTCGTTCAAGATTTCTTGAAGATTGCATCACCATTGACTTAATTGACCCATAAAAACATTATGTTCGAGTGGATCGACAAATGAGAACATTGCTTCCAAGAGTTAAAAAGTAGGTTAGTGTCAACTCCTATACTAGCACTCCCTATTGGAATGAATGGGTTTGTAATTTATAGCGATGCCTCACATAATAGACTGGGATGTGTTCTTATGCAAAATGGAAAGGTTATTGTATATGCCTCACGTCAACTAAAGACTCACGAGCTAAGCTACTGAACTCATGATCTGAAATTGGTTACGGTAATATTCACTCTCAAAATTTGGCGTCATTACCTCTACTGAGTAACATGCCAAATTTACATGGACCATAAGAGTCTTAAGTATATGTTTACACAGAAGGAACTAAACACGAGGAAACGATGATGGTTAGAATTTATAAAAGATTAAGATGTGAAGATTCAACACCACCCAAGCAAGGCTAACATGGTAGCAGATGCGTTGAGTCAGAAAACTACCAAAAGTTTGGCATGCATAGTTATTCACCAACAACCACTTACACGAGAACTGGAAAAACTGTACTTGGAGTTGGTTCCACACAAGATTGAGGGATTGTTCGCTAATTTAGTTATGGAACCCATGATAATTGATGAGATTAAGGCACGTCAATGTGAGGACAAACTATTAAAGAAAATATACGATAAGCAAGGAAATTCGCCTAATTCTGATTTCACTATATGCACTGGGATACTAAAGTTTCGAAATTGAATTTTTGTACCTGACATTCCAAAGATCAGAAAGAAGATATTAGTGGAGGCCATAGCTCGAGATTTGCAGCTCATCCTAGGAATACAAAGATGTACCATGACTTGAAAGAGCACTATTGGTGGTCAAGAATGAAAAGGGACATAGCAAGTCATGTGTCCAAATGTTTGCAATGTCAATGAGTTAAGGCAGAGCATCAAAGACCCGCAGGGTTACTACAACCACTCTCTATTCTTGAATGGAAATAGGAACACATCAGCATGCATTTCGGCATCAGATTACCACAATCAGCCTCAAAGAACGATACGATATGGGTCATAGTAGATCAATTAATGAAGTCGGCACATTTTTTGCCTGTCAGAATCACGTATTCACTTAATAAATTTTCCACTTTGTATATCGAGGAGATAATTCGATTGCATGGCGTCCTGATGTCAATCGTGTCGGATCGAGACCCTCGATTCATATCTCAATTTTGGCAAAGGTTACAAGTAGCCTTGGGAACAACACTAAAATTTAGCACTGCTTTTTATCCGCAAACTAATGGTCAATCTGAAAGAAAGATTTAGACATTAGAAGGCATGTTGCAAGACCTTAAAGGTACTTAAGACGCATCTATCGTTAGTGGAATTCGCCTATAACAATAGTTACCAAGCGAGCATTGGAATGACACCGTATGAAGCACGTACGAAAGGAAATGTCAATCGCCTATATGTGGGACAGAGATTGGAGATAGAAAGTTATTGGGTCCTAAAATTGTGCAGATGACAATTGATAAAATCCAACTTATTCAATAGCGAATTCGCACTGCTTAGAGCCGTCATGAAAGCTATATAGATACTCGGAGACGAGATTTGGAATTTCAAGTAGGAGATCATGTTTTCTTAAAAGTCTCACCAACAACAGGAATCATTTGGTTTGGAAAATGAGAAAAATTGAATCCACATTACATTAGACCATATGAGATAGCAGAAAGGATTGAACTTGTAGCATATTATCTTGCACTTCCTCTAGAGTTGTCCAACGTCCACAATGTGTTCCATATTTCAATGCTCTAACAATATTTGCGGGATTCAGAACATGTCATTAATCAAGAGCACCTGGAAGTTCAACCAAATCTCCCTTATAAAGAGCAACCGGTGCAGATCCTTGACCGCAATGATCAAATTCTCTGAAACAAGACTATACCTCTTGTAAAAGTCCTGTGGAAAAATCATCGTGTCGGAGAAGCTACGTCGGAAATTGACAATCAAATACGAGCCCAATATCCACTTCTGTTTGAGAATCAATATACTTCAAGTTTAGAGACAAACTTCTATTTAGGAGGGAAGAATGTGACACTCCAAAATACGTTTACTTAATCTTTGAAAAAAAAAATGTAATTACAATATTTTGTTGGGCCATAGTCGAATTTGGAGAAACTTCTTCAATTGTCTCTAGAAAACCTTGTGGATGTCATGGTAAACCATGTGGTAAAACGATATGGCTACGCAGTGCTGCATAGTGCAGCATTGTGTTGCATAGTAAGGGTCTTCTCACCTATAAATAGGTGAGTTGCATGGTAATGAAATCACAGAAATAACAAACAAGGGATATATGAGAGAGTGAGTCAAAGTCAGAAGTGAGAGTAAAGGATCCACTTTGAGGTAAGTTGTATTACTATTTTATGTAAATCTATTTTTCAAATTATATTAGTTTTTTAAAAGCATATTATTTGTTAAATGAACCTTATTTGCTTCATAATGATTCAGTTTTGACTTGACCCTTGTTGTATCCCGAACTCAGGTTTAATGGTTTCATATTGTTGTTTACATCTTATCTTCTTTGTATCTTCTTAAATTTGGCTTTTCGATTATTGTGGTTGCGTTTGGGATAGGTTGGTTGCTTACTTTCCAAACTCTTGTTGCCCAGAATTTTGCTCCTCCGCTCGAGCAGCACTTCTTGCACTCGAGCAGGCTTTGTGAACTCTCAGTATTTTTACAGGTTTGCAAAATAACTGGGAGAGTGTATTCTTCGCTCAACTGGATCTTTCTGCACTCAAGCGGGCTCAGCTCGAGTGGCCATTCTTGAGCTTGAGTGTTGGTCTGTTGTCTGCAAAACTACTAGATGTGTGTATTCTGCGCTCGAGCGGAACAATTTGTTGTGTCTGATGCTCGAGTGTCAACTCTTGCGCTCAAGCGGACAGTGCGTATATCAGATCGTAACAACCACATTTTTCATCACTTTTTCATCTCCTTCTCTCTCTAAAACTCTTCAAAACTCTCCAAAACCCTCCAAAACCCTAGATCTAGAGCTTCTCTATCTAAAACTCTCACTCTCTCTATATTTTCACCTAGATCTAGTAGTTTCTCTACCCTTCTCCCTTTGTTAAAAAGATAGAGCATCTCAAGGACTACATTCTCATCCGAATAAAGTTGGGTTTCAGTGTGTTTGAAATGTCTCCGTTCTCTCTCTCGACTTGTAAACTTGAGGTAGGGACTTTCTATACTCTTTTATGAGTTTTAACTTAGTTTTTGTTGATGTGTAAGAAATATTGGGATTTGAGGTGATTTTGAACAAATCTAGGGTTTTGGTTTAAAATCAAAAGAGGGGTTTTTGAATGAATGTATTGGAAATGGTTATGGGAGTAAATATGAGCTTGTGTTATGTTAAAATGGTTGATTTTGGTATTTGGGATAAAATTAGAAAAAATGGGGTTTTGCCCTAAAATGTCTCAAATAATTATTTTGTGTAAATATGAAATTGGTATTGGGAATATGAAACTGAGTGGATATTTATATAAATGATGGAGTTAGATATGTATTACCTCGCATCTATGGAAAGTTGAATAATTTATCTGTTGTAAAGATTGTATATCTGTTTAGAAATATCTGTTTTGGGCTATCGGTAGAGAATAACCATGATTGTTGTAGAAATTGCATGAGGATTATGCGAATTGAAACTAATTTCTTAGCTGTTATCATTGAATATGATTATGATGTATATACATTGTATATGTATGATGCTTGGGAGGAGAAATGGGATATACTCCATGTTTGGGAGAAGAAAGAGGATAGACTTCATTAAACTAAGTTAGCCTATGTGTCCAGGGTGAAAGTCCCAAAAACTGCGCATATACATGGGTGCCGATTCCCGTGGATGAAATTTCCATAAAATGGCAAGTGAATGTATTTTGTATGATAATCATATTGGTTGAAGGCCTATGGGGTGTATCCTTTGTTTGGTTGACTAAATGAAGTGGATATAACTAATGGATTGAGATGTAAGTTTGACATAACATGGTTTTGGAAAAGGTTGTAAAAGAATTGTCATTTGGCCATTGAATATGTGCATCACATTTATATCTTTGTTAATATTCATATATTGTGTTAGATTGTTTTTACTGGGCTTTCGCTCAATTACTTGGGAAACCATTTTCAGGTGCTGGTGACATGCCTCCTCCAAGGACTTAGTTTAGGAGGACCTGGGAGCTGAAGGCTCTGTTTTTTGTTGTTTTGTATTTAATATTTCTACGAGCCTAGGGCTTTATATGTTTGGAGCTTAAGACTTTCTCTTTTGTTGTAACCAAGCATAGTCTTGGAAAAATGTAAGCATGTAGGGCATTTATTTTGTTGATCATTAAGTTGGTATCACATGCTATGGATTCAGGGTAGAGCTTATGAATGTATATAGCATGTGTCACTTTTGTAAATTAACTCTGATTAATGAAACTCTATTATTTTGTTTATGTCATTGTAGACACCACATTTTTGACCGTCCTCAAGACTTGGACGTCACCGTTTGAACACTCAGTGATCATCCATGTTTGTGTTTGTCTTGAGTTCTCAGAGGTCTCGGCTACGCACCTTGCCTCAAGACCTCTCGACTTGCCTGTTTTGTGTTTGGTTTTGCACCAAACACTTGTGTTTTTCTTTTGAGGAGCAGGGAATGGCTTGTTGGCCATCCCCACATCTCACCGGCCATGGCTTGAGGCCACCGGCCATTGTTTTGTTGCCATCGGCCAAATGTTTGGTCGGTCGGCACTCTATTTGGTCGGTCGACCATTTATTTGGTCAATTTGGCATTTTTGGCTGGCCGACCACTGTGCATCCACTTTTGGCAGATATTTTGTGCCAGCTGTACTAGCTGGCACCCACTTTGCACCTCCTTCATACACGTATATGGAGGGATTTCACTCTTGCTTAGCTTGTTTTGTAAGTTTTGCAAGAGTGATCCTCCATAAAGGAAGGCCTTCTCCTCCCTCCTTAAGGGTTACAAAAAAGAGTTCCAGAGGTCTGAATTAGGGTTAGGTCTTGTGTATCTATCTATCTCTATATCTCCCTCTCTTTTGCTCTTTGTGTGTGTATTAAGGTGTTTTGTTCATAGTTTTGCACACAAACACCTAGAGTTACACTTTCCTTTAGCTACTGAGGTACTAAGGCGTGATTTTCAGAGTTCTTGAGTGGATTCAAGCTTGAGGAAGCAGCTGGAGCTCAGTTCTTGAAAAGGGTCTTCAAGGGTAAGAACTTTGCTCTTTATTCCCCATTTTTGCATAGGCTTTTAGCCATCCTTGCATCTGTTTTTAAGTTTAACTTATAACATATAAAAGTTCTAATTTTAAGTTCTTAAAATAGTTGTTTTGGTGTTTGGGGTTGTTCGACCCCTCTTAGGCCTTGTTGGGCCCCCATTTTGTGCATTTTTGGTGAGCTCCGGGACCACCTTGTTTGGGCCTCCTCACCACAGAAATCCAGAGGGATTTCAGTGGTGGGGATGGTGCTTTGAGGTCCTAAGAAGGAAAGGGCCATCCCCTCTCCTTGTTGTCTTCAAAAGTTGTCATTTTAGCCTCATGTGTGAGCACCATTGTTGAGTTCATGTATGCCATGTCTTAGATAGTATTTGTGCTTATTTTGTCATGATATAGCACTGTTTTAAGTTGGTTTAGACACACCATGCTTGCTTTGCATACTTGTCTTGTAATGCCATGAATTGCCTTAACATGCTTTGTGCTTTGAGCCTTGTTTCTAGCATGTTTTTGGCCTAGCTTTGTGAAGCTTTTATGCATGTCTTAGTATGCTTAAGGTATGTTTGGAGTTGTTTTGGCCATCCATAACATGCTTTGCATAGCCACCTTGCAATTTGGCTTGTTAGCCTTGGGTATGTGAGTGTTGAGCATGCATTACTTGGCTTGTTTCAGTGGTTTGGCACCACTTATAACATCATTTCAGTCCTTGTGGTCTGCTTGTATGCTTGCATTTGATGCTCCTTTAATGCTTCAAGAGGTTGGTATCTTATGCTCCATGTTTGAACCCTTTTGCATGCCTTTAGACTTAGGCCATTTAGATGCCATCTAGGTGTGCCTTTGACCTTGTTTTGATCTACCTTGGGGTGGTTTTGATTCGCCATGGCCCTTTGGGACTTGCTTCGTATAGCTATGGTTTAAGTCCCTTGGCTTACCTTGAGTTTTGGACATAGTTGCATGCCTTACTTGCATTGATAGGTTGATTTGGCATCATTCCTCATGTATTTTCAGAGCTGCTATGCTTGCCATTAGTCCATGTTTATCCTCTTTTAAGTGTGCTTAAAAGTTGCTTCTTTATGCTTAAGAGTTGGGCCATGTGTACATGCATGTTTGTATGTTGTTTTGGCCTTCATTTCCTTAGCATTTGGCCACTGTTTTGGACCTAGTAGAGAGCTGTCCATCTTGGTGTAAGTCCCTCCTTTGTATGTTGTTGCATGCTCGCCTTGTGTGTTGTTGCATACTTGGCCTATCACATGTGTTGCATGCTTGAATCACATTACATTTAGCATGTTTTCTTCCTTTTGTTTTGGTTGCTTAACATGTTACGTGTCTTGCATGTTTGCATGTTCGCATTGCATATTGCATGCTTGTTAGCTTGCATATGTTGTTACATGCCTTGCATGTTTGTTTGTTTAGGTTGTGTGCTTAATACACATTACTGGCTTTCATGCTCATGATTGCATACTTAGCTCACATGTCTAGGTTGCATTGCGTTGCGCATGCATGCCTAGTCTCTTGATCAAGTGATAGAGGTTGGCCTTATGTGTTTATTTGGTTTGCATTTCATTTGACATCAAAATGCATAACTTGGCCTCTTTGGCCATCACGCATTGAAATGAGTGATTGGTGGCCCGAGGGTCGAGGACCATCCTCCTTTAAGTCATGAACATGATAAGGAGGATGTTTGTGCAAACATTTGCTTGAAATGCATTGCCATGCCATGTTTGCCCTCTGCTACTGTCAAAATAGGATTCTGTAGATAAATATGGCCAGTCG